GGGGGCTGGCTTAAATTAGGCGATGGATTCCTTTCACACTGATTGACGTGTTTGTTTCCCACGTTGTCCTACTCCATCAGTACTGTTCGTTTGTTTGTTTTAAGGGGGGAAACCGGAAAAGAAAGCTTTCCTATCAACAAGCCCAAGTCCAATCAGTCAGGTCGCGCGCAGCGCAATTTATGGACAACAACCCCTTAACAATACAATACGGTCGCATCGCCTGACCACGATCAGATGCGGTGGCCCTCTGAGGATGAAGAGAAGACCGCCTCAACAGCCGCGTGGGCAGGATTTCAACTCGGGAGGGGGACGCGATGATGGATAGGAAACAGGCCGTGGAACTACTCAATTAAAAAGCATAGATGGGGAAGCGTTGCGCCCCGCGTGTTGCTAGCGGATATCATCATTTATTGAACTGAATTGTGTCGATCTGTTCGTTAAATTTGATAAAATAGTTTCTTGTATATAATTATTCATAAATAATTTAGCGATAATTTTTTACTACTATCTACTACAGAATGGATTTCTGAACAGACAATGATATTATACTCCAATTAGTAAGTTTTATCAATTTTTTATAATAAAGTCAGAAAATATTTATGTGCCTAAAATGTCTGATAAAGATCACATTTATCATTTGCAAGAACAAAACAAATAAAAGAAGACTGTTTTCAAGGTTAAAAAATAATTTCTTCAGCTTGAACAGCGGATGGAGGTAAACAAATCACTATAGCGTATAGAACATGTTCAAGATTCAAAAAATGCACCTTAGCACGAACAATGTTTATGAGAAAAGATCAATGCAACACGGACAATACGGGTAAGGCCGAAAACATTACTGTAGCACGAATAGAAATTTTAATAATTTGAATCATACTGCAACAAGAATAGTATTTATTGTAGCTTGAATATCAATTTTGAGGTTTTGATTTTAAGTTAAAAAAGTAGAAAATTTGCGTTGAGTATAAGATAAATTCTTTAAAAAATTGCGCACGACGATCTTTTCTGGAAACAACATCATAAAGCAACAAAACTAGAGGAAATGCCTTGATAACCTCTCTCTTAATAAAAATAAACAAGTTGTCAACAAGAAACCGATCCTCTATCTTGTTACGCAATCTAGTCATCACGAGTTTCATAATTGAAAAAAAAAACTACATAGTTGTAGTAGCATTGGGAAGTGACAAAATTAGGTGTTTACATCTGGGGTTCACAAAACAAATCCATACAAAATGGTTAAATAAATACAACAAGAAAAAAAAATACAACAATCATGGTAAAAGAATATAAATTAATGATTAAACAATAATATAATTTTAGTCATAACAAACAAAAGGATACAAGGGGGGGAAATCGTACCTTAATTACTAATTGGAGAGTTTCTAGAACTGATATAAAAAAATCCCAAAACTCAATAGGAACGTGAGATATTGAATTTGATTTGAGTCAAATATAGGGAGATATTGTTCGATTTGAGTTGAATTGAAAACATGGAGAGAGAGAGAGAGATTTCTTTCTTAACTGGGGCAAGGATTTTCTACATTCTTGATTGTAGAGAGCCAGTAAACCCTCTGTTCATGACGATTAAGGTACTTTCTAATGATAACACAATAGAAAATCTAACAGGGGATCGACTGAAGAAAGAACGAAAAAAATAAAGAAACAATTATAAATTGTTGATGATAGTTATAAAACAGGAAGTTTGCGAGTGGATTAAAAGAGTGTTAGGATCCTCAAGTTTCTTCCAATGACTAGTTCGGAAGCATGCAACCCTCTCCTACACATAAAAACTCGTGAGAGGCCGGAATTTGGTTATTCGGTTGTTCCTCCGACGATCAAGCCGGTATATGAACTTAGGTGAGAAAATGTGAGATGATAAAGAAAGTTTTAAAGTTATGTCAAAAAGAGTAGAGAGTTACCTTAAGCTGCATGATTTCCTTTTATAGAGGATAAAAGGGTAGATAGGTAACTTGAGCCTAGTTTAGGCAAGCGCCTGACTCGGTAGACAGCCGACATGTGTCAGCTGCTGGCGAAGATGGATGGTTAGTGCTAAGTGAAAGCAGTTTGCTTGGTGCTGAAGGAGTTAGTAAGTCATAAAGACTTTGGGGACTAGAGTAATGATAACTTTGTCAGAGTAATTAATGTAAGTATAGGCGGCTGTCGGCGCAGGGTTTGAGAAAACTATCACCTCTTCAGTCGTCTGATATAACGGGCCGAGTGCTGATTATTAGCAGAGGCGGTTAGTTGGGTTGGACGATAAGTGTTGTCTTTTTACTCGGCTACGTAGGTTGTTGGCCAATAGAGCCGGCCGCATGGGTAGCTCAGTCGTCCGAGTTGTACATAAGTCTAATTATGCATTGTGCAGGACACGTGTTAGTTTCCCAAGGGAGATTAACACTGAGTTATTTTCAAGCTATAACATAAATAAATAGAAATTTAACAAGGATTGACAATAAATGTGATTATTATATACTTAGAGAGTGTTGCTACGGGAACCCAAAATATGGGACCAAGGGAGGGGACAGGTGAGGTGTCCCCTCCCTATTGCATAATGAGTTGGCCATGCCAACTCATTATGCAATAGGGAGGGGACACCTCACTTGTCTCCTCCATTGGTCTCATATTTTGGGTCCTTAAATCATTTTTCATACTTAGATTACAACCAAATCATGATTCAACTAACAATTAATGAAGAGTTATAGTCAATCTCTCACTTTCATATTGTTTCTATTTATCTCTTGTCTAGATACCAGAAAGAAAATACAAGTAGTCTTAAAATCCTATGAGTTTTTCTTTGTATAACTATAACTAAACTATATATTTCAAACTACTTCTATAATACTATACATGATAGTGTGGGGTCTATCTACTTAGGTTGCAATTAAAATTAATGAGTTACCAAGGACTTCTATTTTGGTGTAGTAGTGTGGGAGTAGTTACAAAAAAGTAATCTACTTTTCACTACTCTTCTTTTTTGGTAAAAAAAAAGAAAAAAGGAAAAAAAAACATGCACTCCGAAAATGCATTTTTGTGCTTAAGGGAAAAGATATCACGAGCTTCTGTTATTCAAAATTCGAAAATTGAAATGCTTGGAACGTCTTTCCAGATCTAACCTTTCTTGCTCCTCTTAGCCCTCCATGACAATATACAAAATGTGTGTCCCAACTAATACCACCGATACTATCCAATGACTTTCATGTACAAACACATTATTAGTGTAGGTCGTAATTTCTTCGCCTTCATGGAGAAATTTTTTGTTGTTGCATCAACATCAATCACTTTTTATTTATTTAAGCACTTCATAGAATAATAATGTTTGTTCGAGGGATTCATAGTCTCTCCACTCAATTAGGTGTTGTTAACTTAGTGAACCTCCTTTGGTAAATTAACACGTGTCTCGCACAATGCCTAATCAAACTTGTGTACAACTCGAACAACTCGAGCTGCCCATGCGACCCACTCTATGGCCGACAACTTGCACAGCCCCACTCTATGGCCGACAACTTGCACAGCCGAGTAAAAAGGCGGTAGTTTTCGTCCAACCCAACCAATCGACTTTGTGAATAACTCACACTCGGCGCGTTATATCAGCGGACAACTTGTATAGCCGACTAAAAAGGTGGTGTTTTCGGTCATTAGCTGGATAAGTGAAGATGTGCTAGTTTTCTAGAACCCCGCGCCGACAGTCGCTTGCCTTTGCATTAACTGCTTTGACAAAGTCATCATTGCTATAGTCCCTAAAGTTTTTATGACTTATAAGGCCTCATCACAACCAAGCAGTTGTTGTCGCTTGTCACTAATTATCTGGATGACTCATCTTCGCCAACGGTCGGCATCTGCCAGTTGTCTGCCAAGTCAACTGTCTACCTGGACTCGGCTCAAGGTACCTATCTGCCCTTATGATCCTCTATGAAAGAAAGCTATGCAGCTCAAGGTAACTCTCGTCTTTTTGACATAGAAACTTTATTCATCATCTTGCACTTTCCCATTCAAGTTTATATACTGACTTGATCATAGGAGGAATAACCGGAGAGTCCAACTCCGGTTTCTCATGAGTTTCATGTGCAGGAGAGGGTTGCAAGCTCCTGAACTAGCCATTCGAAAAAGCTTGAGGATCCTAACACTCTTCTAATCTACTCGCAAGCCCTCTATTTGTCAGCTAATTGGAGAATTTAACTAAAGATTTGTTTTCCGATTTTTAAGCTGATTTTAAAGAAAGATTTGATTTTTATCATAAATAAAATTATAGGAGTATTTGGAAAATTAATAGCTTGGTTGTTGAAATCATATGTGATGATATTTTATTCTTTGAAATTGAGATTTATGATAATAATTGCAAGAATTGAATACCCCCAATTAGAGTTGGCCCAAATCCTTGTTGGAGTAGCGGTTAAGCCCAGTTCACAAGAATAAATATCCTATAAGAAAAGTGATCTCCCTTTCCATATAGGAAGTTATTTCAACTCTCTGTTTTTATTTAGTATCTACTCTATTTTTGTGAATAAAATCTATCCTTCTAGTATATTTATCCTCTATAAATCTGGGTGTTTGCTAATTTTATCTCTACGTTCTCACAATTGAAACTATTACGTTTCAAATTAATAAGCTTCATCGATGATAAATGAAATAGACATAAAAATCTAGCATAGAAGAATTAGGAGTAAATTAGCAAACATGCAAATTTAGAGGATAAATCTGCAAAAAAGCCAAAGGGAAAGAACAATCTTCGGGTATTACTTTAGACGCAGTCGGGCTGTTTATTGTATACCCGGCCCATTCCTATGCCCCGTCAACCCGGTCCATTTGCCTAAACGGAACATTCCACACACCGGCGACCGCTATAACACCAAACCCCCGTGTTCGGATCTCACCCGGTAACCTCACCGCCTCAAAAACCAAAATGGGATCGATTGAACCCCCGAAGGCGGTGGCCAACGGCGGCATCGGCGGAGCAGAACGGAGGCGGAGATCGGAGGGCGAAGAATAGGAAGGCGGTGACTTTACCGCTGGAGGTCGGGACTCGAGTGATGTGTCGGTGGCGAGATCATAAGCTTCACCCCGTTAAAGTCATCGAGCGACGCAAAGTTTCGTCTGAAGGAGCCAACGATTATGAGTATTACGTTCATTACACTGAATGTGAGTGAATTTTGACATCTCGTTCTGTTTTGTTGTTAGTTAGGGTTTTTTTATGCGATCGATTTTGGAATTTGTGTATTTTTTGGTGTTTGGATGCGGAAAGATATGATTTTGGACGAAATTTTATTTTTTTAGAGTTAATTGTCTAATATGTCAGTAAACGGCAGATTGGGAGCATATATGAAGAAAATTTGGGAATTTTTACATGAATTGTTTGGATTTTGGTGTTTTGTGGGGATGGAATTTGTTAGAATTTCGGACCCTAGAAGCGCATATGATCATAATTGTTACGAGTGAAGTGAAAAGTTTTAGTCTATCAGTGTTGTGTCAACCTTTGAGAAGTCGAGAGTTGTAGACAAATCACATTTTTGTTGTTTAGTTGTGTGGTGCATTACTTGAGAAATTCCCTTGACATGAACGTGGTACATTTCTTAATTGTTTAGTTGGCTAGATGACAGAGTTTGGATGAGTGGACAATTCTTTTTTCCAACCTGCCAAATGCCAAAAACAACTTTCTTAGTCAGTCTCTGTAAAGCGTTTTTGTGTATTTTGAAGTTAATGAGAACAATTAAGAATGTTCCTGTTGGAGTTTGGTATTGATTAATTATGTAGTTTAAAAAAAAGTAATTTGCATGTCTGATTAATTCAATGGCTAGTATATATACATCTTTAGTGTCTTAGCGGCAACTGAGTTGAAATATTTCTGTAAAACGTTGGGCTAATTTAGTACATCCGTTTGCTCCATAATTGATAGGGATGAATCATAAGCCTTCACAGGGACTGGATACTTAATTTATGATCTTAAATAAATTAGGTCGGGGCTCTTCTAAATTGTGGCACAGTCCATGTGCATTGCCATGCCATATGATAATCTTATTGTCTGTTTGTATACAAAGGAGGGGAGGGGAGTGATTGACTTAAATCCAAGGGGAGGGAGTGGAAAGAAAAAGGGTGGAACGTATTCATTTGTGTTTGGATAGACAATGAGGGGATGGGAGGGTATACTATAATGAGTGGAAAGAAAAAGGGTGGAATGTATTCATTTGTGTTTGGATAGACAATGAGGGATGGGAGGGTACACTATAATAATTGTTTGTTTAGGGGCCGTTTGGTTGGTTTCCTAAAAACCAAAAAAAGGAAATCGGTACAAGGAAACTAATAAAATAATATTTTTATCCATTTCTATCCCTAAAACTCACCCACAACATCCAATAAAATAATATTTTCAATAAAATAATATTTTTATCCATTTCTATCCCTAAAACTCACCCACAACATCCAATAAAATAATATTTTTATCCTCCAACTCATCTCATTTCATCTCATTTCTTACCTTTAAAAATAAACCAAACACAAGAAATGTGTCACATCATCCAACTCATCACATCTCATCTTATCTCATTTTTAAAAATCACACACATCATCCAATAATATTGTGACAACTCATCTCATCTCATTAAACCTTCCTTTCCATCCATTTCCTCAAAAAAAAAAAGAAATTGATTTCCTTAAATATGTGTCACATCATCCAATAATATACCTCCAACTCATCTCATCTCATCTATTTTCTTATTTTTAAAAATGAACCAAACACAAATAACCTCAAAACATCATCCAATAATATACCTCCAATTCATTTCCTTATTTTTTAACCAACCAAACAATCTCAAAACAAGTTTTTTTAAAAAACCACTCACATCATCCAATAATAAGGTGACAACTCATCTCATCTCATCTCCTATTCTATAGTTTTCTTCTTTTTTAAGCCAACCAAACAACCTCAAAACAATTATTATAGGAAATAGGTTTCCTATTCTTTGATTTTCCAAATTTTTTTGCGAAACGAACAGCCCCTAAGGGTAGAGGATGGGAAGGAAGGTAACTACTTAACCAGTATGCTCTTTTAATAAAATAAGAAAGAACGCCTTTTGATTTTCTCATAAAGAGCAATATTGGAATTTCAAGAAAATTTCACTTGAAAGCTCTCCCATCCTCTCCCAATGTGACCACTTGTAGAGGGTTGAGAAAGTGGCTGATTTTCTAATTTTCATCCCCCCCGCCCCGCTTGCTAAGTAAAAGTGTAAACAAACACAATGTTAGAAGGGTTAGTATTGTAAACCTACCCCTCGCTCACCCTCCCCTCCTGAAAAACTCTATCCAAACTCAGTGTAAAATTCATTGGTAAACACACATTTGATATTCTGGATGATGCTGTTATCTGTACATTTGTATCTATACACATTTTTGAAATGCATATTGTTAACCTGTACCATCCGTTCAAGATTTTTGTGGTGCTCTAATATCCTATCATATCATATTGTTGTGTTTGGTATCCATGCAAACTAGATGTTTATGCAGAACCCGCCTTACAAGTTCAACTGCTGATAGTGTCTATTTGACCATTTACTTTGAGACCTTTTTCTGATGTGTTCCATTACCATCGGTTGATTAGCAGTTGGCATAGCTCTTGAGCACTTTCAAGTGTTCTGAAGTATATTGCTTTAGTTTGACCTAATATTTTTTTTTCTTCTTTTGCTTTTGTTGTACATAATATCAGCAGAATAATTGCGTTAGGCCCTCATAGCATATAGGTTTTCATGGTTGCTTGTCATTTTCTTTTTTGTGGATTATTATATGTAGTCGTTAGCATTTTAATTCACCTCTCTTTGTTATGCAGTGCTTTTGCCTACTAAAATTTCTGTGTTTTAGTTAATAGGAGGCTTGATGAGTGGGTTAAGCTTGAACAACTGGACCTTGATACAGTGGAAACAGATGCTGATGAAAAAATGGAGGATAAGGTACTGAATTAGACTAACTTAGTTTCTAGTACACATCATTGCACGTCCTGAGGTTATTACAGCTATGTTTGATATTGTAGTGCAGTAAATATATGATTTTTTTCCTTCTCTTGCATCTTTCCAGTAGTAATTGGTGGTTACTCTGAAGAGTTCTCTCCCTGAGTAGTCTTCATAGATATGTTCGCATGATTTATCTAGGTACTACTTCTGTGTTCAACAATGACACTTGTGTAGGGGTTTTCATATTCCATCAGCTAATTTGGCCGTTTGATAGTATATGTTCTTGTTGAATCTTCCAGAGTAAGAATATTTCTGTTTATCTTTTCAGGCAACAAGCTTGAAAATGACGCGTCATCAGAAACGGAAAATTGATGAAACGCATGTGGAGGTATTCTTTCTTTTACCTTTGATTTTGGTCATTCTTTTGTGCACTTATAATGGTCCGCTCAAGATACCTTTCTATGTAAAATTTTTGTTTAAGATGACTTACAAATATTTCTTTTTTCATTTTCCTTATGTTTTCAAGAAGTAAGTAGTTAGCTAAGTTGCATGGATACATGTACGGGTGCGGGTACGGAACACATAAAATTTGTAGAAGGTAGGATACATGGACATGACTACATGGCTGAATCATAGTTATGAGCTACATGCTCAAAAAACCCTTCATATTTTTCAACTGAATGTGGGCTGAAACGAACCCGACCCTAGTCCAATAAGTTTCAAAAGTGGGTGTGAAGAGTAGGATATATGTCCAAGAGTGTATGACAAGTCGATTAAACTATAATATGTATTATATAATTGAGTACACATTTTGAATATATGCATATGTCTAAGGAGTGTCTATGAAGTGTCGGGTACGGTTACCGGACATGTCGCATATGGGTACGAATTCATCATGATAGAAGAACCATTGCAACATAAATAACTAGTAAAGTCTGACATGATTGAGGTTGCAATGTGAAGCGTGGAGTAAAACCTCATTTGCAGCTTGCAGAGATATTAAGATCTGGAAGAATTCCATTTTCTGCAGATAAATCTTGAAATAAATTTGATTCGTCTAATTTATAAATTCTTTCTTATTATGTTAACATGCTCTTCAATTAATTTGAGAAGAAATCATGGGATGCATCAGAACACACACATTTGCTATCTATTTTAGTGTTTTGCTAACTCTGTGTATTCTTCTTAATAGGATTATTGATCATGTCTGTGATGGTACCCTTTTTATTGTTAGACATGATAATCAACATTTAACCTTAGGAGTAAGCTACAGGATCAGTGTAACAAGGTGCACAATATAGTCAGGTAAGCTAATTTGCATGGAAACGGGCACGGATACTGGTACGGGTGAGGATACGGGTACGGGACACGGCAAAACTGTAAAATGTTGGGTACGAGGACACGACTACATATATATATTGAATTAATAATGTACATGAGATAAATTTTTTCCGCTTCATGTGTCATTAGAATTAAAATTTCGATCACATTTTTGAGTTTATTTTATCATATTGATTATCGTGAATTGTAAACTACTCATTTTTTTACTAGACATCTAAACGACCCATTAACTATATAGTTTCGAACTTGGGTATGAACTGAAACGAACCCGACCCGTATCTCATTAGTTTCAAAAGACGGATGTGAAGTGTAAGCTTTACGTCCAGGAAGTCTTTGACAAGTGTTTTAAATTAACACATATATCGTCTAATTGAGTACATGTTGTAATAAATGCATGCATATATTCAAGAAGTGTCCATGAAGTTTGGGTACGGGAAAGTGTCGGGTACGTGTCCGAGACGGGTACGGCTTCAATAATGAAGTACCCGGTAACATAGCAGGTAAGCTTTTTCTCTTATTTCTGAGAGTACCTTTACTCATTTAAACCACACACAAGTTGTGTGGAGAAGCAAGAAGCAACCTGAAATTCTGAAAGTTGAGACTTTTTATCATCAGAGACTATGTGTCTTAAAAATGATAAGAGGCTAAGAAGCTAGAAATGCAGAATTAGTATAACAAGGCGCGTCAGAGTGAAATGCTTTATTTTTTCACCTCTCTTTTTAGTGGGAGTAAGTTTACTTATTCAAACCATGCTGCAAGCTGTATAGATGAGTTCACTAACAATCGGAAGTTTGAAAGTCGTAATCATCAGGGGCATATGGGCTTATAAAGTGCAGAAGCCTAAGAAGCTAGAACTAGAATATACTTTGTTAAAGACGGAACAATTGCTACTGACTGAGCATTTCTTGAAAATCGTAAGAAAGAACTAAATAACATGAATACTGTGATAGTGACTGGTTCTGTCTTCTCTAGTATATATCTTAAACGATTGCCAATTAATGTGTGTATTTATTTCTTTATGTCTATTAATCTGATAAGTGCGGACCACACTCCCACTGACTAAATAACTGGCTAATCATTGATCTGTACCATTTCTACATAGCTTCTTGTGTACTTCTATTCATTGATCACAGCTTTCTGAAATAGCTATATTTGTAAGAAGATGTCCATAATCTATCAAGCATCTTATCTTATCATAGAAAAGAAAAAAATATGTTTAGCTTCCAGTATTAAGAGTTAGAGGCACTCGAGAGGAATACATATTTCCCTTGCTAGATGGAACTGTACATAATGTGTGCTCATGGGGAAAACAAAGAAAAGAAAAAGCAAAAGCAAAAGCAACAGCCATCATATACCACAATATTTATTTTATTCTAGTTCCATCTTTACTATTTTACATTTGATAGGAGTTGACTTAATTTAATTTAGGGTTAGGTTATTTTAAGGTCTACATTTTATTTTTCTACTCACAGGGCCATGAAGAGCTTGATGCTGCCAGTTTGCGAGAACATGAGGAGTTCACTAAGGTGAAGAACATAGCAAAAATAGAACTTGGTAGATATGAGATCGATACCTGGTATTTTTCCCCTTTCCCAGCAGAGTACAATGATTCATTGAAGCTATTCTTCTGTGAGTTCTGCCTCAACTTTATGAAGCGCAAAGAACAACTTCAGAGGCATATGGTGAGCTCCCTAAGATATAATTCCTTTTATGTACTCAAACTTGCAGACTATTTCTTGTTGGTGGTTCACCACTACCAGTGTGTGATATACATTAAGGTGCTCATCTTTTTGATATGTATCTAACACAGATTTCAAAGCAAATCCAAAGGATTAAAAAGTTGGTGAACTAAAGCCTTCAATCCACTTAAGTTTATTAGCTTTATTGCATATATATGCATTATGCACATATACAAATATTTTTGATGAGAACACACAAATATACATATGTGCATGTGTATATGTGTTGTCTCGTCGAAACGATGTACACATATGCATATTTATACAAACGCGCATGCAAGCATTCAGAGCTCTTTAGTTTCTTCAGACAATATAATGAAATCATGTATAATATTGTGTTCATGTGAACATTAGGATTCATAGGCAATGTTAAAAAAACAGTGTTAAAAAAACACATTAGATAACCCGTTATTTCGCTTTATGTAACTTAACAAACCTTAACTGTTATGTAATATATAAAATAATTCAAAACACGTCGGAACTTTACGTTATTACAAATACATTATTTCAATAATAACACATTATTTCATTATAACTTATGTTATTTCAGTATGTGCATCTCTCATAAATTGATTATGTAATTCACGTCTCCTTGTGCAGAGGAAGTGTGACCTCAAGCATCCTCCAGGGGATGAGATCTACCGCAGTGGTACTCTTTCTATGTTTGAGGTAAGCCTCTTGTTTGTCCAATTTCCTTCCGTCATGTTCTTTTGGGCTCGAGAATCATGCTCTTTCATATGAATTGGCTTTCTTGTTTCTGTGTTTTTAATTGTGAGTTTACATGTGGCCTTTCACAAAATTTATTCGACTATTAATATCGTCTGTTTTATGATTACTTACTTAAGTCTTAGATTAAGTTTTTTTTTCAAGACAATTTGCATATTAAAATGTGTATTCTCAATAATAATCTGTTTTAAACTTTTAAAATGTGTATTCTCAATAATAATCACTTTTAAACTTCTAAAGATAGTTGAAAATTTTGTAACCATAGTTTACTCGTCAGCTTCCATAGATTTATATTCTTATCAAAAAGTTCACATCTTCATTGGTGGCTGAACATTGTTTTACTTGCATGGAAAAGTTATGAATTCTAACCTTAAAAGATATCAGATGTGAAAGTAATATTCAGAGAACAGATTATTACAGAGCCATCAATGTAAAGCCATTAATTTTCGTCAAAATTGTGTGCGAAAGAAATAAGTAAATGAACCCTGCTTTAGGTGGTACTGTATTAGAGGCTTGTGCAGGAGTCCGTTTGTACTTGGACTTCAAGTCCAAGCAGAGTACAGCGATGGTGTATGTGTAATAGAAATTTTCCTTGCCCAAAGTTGTTAAGAGACCAATTTCAGCCTGTAGAAGGTGATTCTCGCTTTTAAGAATAGATGACTTTATGATAATGTAATAAATTCCGATCTTATAGTTGTGTTCCTTTTTGTTGTCTTTCATAGCAAGCCAAAGATGTTTTGGTTTATTTCTTTCTTATTTTTAGTTATTTTTCTTTCTCATTGGACTCGCCTCATCGTAAGTCTTTCCCTGAGTATCTTTTCCGTCTTATCTGTAAAGAGCATTTTATGACAGGTTGATGGCAAGAAGAACAAGGTTTATGCACAAAATCTCTGCTACTTGGCTAAACTCTTTCTCGATCACAAGACACTCTACTACGACGTTGATTTATTTTTGTTTTACATTCTTTGTGAATGTGATGATCGAGGGTGCCACATGGTTGGATATTTCTCTAAGGTAATGATTTGAATTACTTTTTTTATTTGCATGTATTATGTATGCCAAGAGATGCTCGTCTATGTGAAATATTTATTTTTCTGTAAATATTGAAATAATATACTTTGACATTGATCCAGGATGAGTCTAGGCTCTGTTCTCATGGTATAGCCAAGCTACGAGAAATATTTATTTTCTCTATAAACATTGGAATATTATATTTCAAAACTGATCCAGGACTAGTCTGGATTCTGTTGTTACGTGGTATAGCCAATCTTTGTTACTTGACAATCTTATCTGTCCATTAGTTGGAGGAGGAATATCCTTCACCTTATTTCTAAGCTCATTCAAGGGAACTTGTGATGTCCAATCATGTGACCATTTTCTTTCTGTTGATAGCGCTCAATCATGTTGGTTAACTCTTATTTTATTGCTTATGCGACACTGCTTAGGTTCAGGTTATGTATCATCAATTCATCATGTTGAGCAAAGACTTTTCATTGTTTGCCCCTAAGGACCAACTACATGAGGTGTATTGTTAGATATTTTTACAGTTGCAGTATCTTCCCTCCAAACTGGTACGTCCTTGAAGTGAGTTTTGTAATCAATCGCACTATTTTTCTTGAAGGCTTCAGAATTTTTCTCCTAAGAGTATATCAGTATTTGTATGAGAAGAAGGGTAGGATTCTTTGAGCTGTATGTGGTTCCAAGGGAGTTGGTTTTATAGGATATCTAATTTGGTTTCAGATCCTTCCAAGTATTTGCATGGGTCATTTAAAAATTTTCCGTGGATTACATGTAGGCAGGTATGTACAAGTATACATTTATATGATGTGACACTTGTATGTTAAGCTATTGCAGGATTCTCTTGAAGGAGAATTCAGAGCAATAAAAAGGGAAAAGAGATGATACACTGAGAATCAGCACTTTATAACAAAATCAATCACCTTTGCTCTATAAATTTCATCAACCAATGGAAGTCTAATTCTTTGGCTAGAATTAATAATGTATTATAGTCTTTGATGGTCCTAAATCTTAGTTTAGCTTAACTGAAATTCCATATCTAATTAAGATGTTTATGTTAAGTTTTGCAGTTTCTTTGTTTTGCAGTTTCTTTTAAATAAGAAACTGAGCTGAAAAAGGGAAAAAGAAAAAGAGAGAAGTAACTACGAATACAATCTCAGCCCTCCATAACAAAGTTAATCCTCAAAATAATCTATAAATTTCATCTAGAAATTGTCAGCCTCATTATTAACTTAAATTGAAATCTGTCCAAAACCACTAATCAAAAGCATGTGCTTATGAAGATTAAAAAGAATATTCCTTTCTCGAATTAAACTGTAAGAAGTGGATAGAACTCATCTATAGGAGTTCTGAGGGGACTTTACTGATTCCCATGGTTACGTATTTCCTAATTTGAAAAGAAGTGTAAGTGAATTTTTTTTATTCTGATTCCTTCGGTGTTATTTTCCATAATGTAGGAAAAACATTCAGAGGAATCTTATAATTTGGCTTGCATTCTCACCCTTCCTCCATACCAGCGAAAAGGATATGGGAAGTTTCTAATTGCATTTTGTAAGTTCAGTACCCTATGTTTACCTGAGGTTGACACTTTGGATTTCCTGCTTATGGCGTATAGCAGTGTTTTGATACATCTAGGTTATGTTTTCTATTTGTGCAGTATGTATAATTTTTCTATAAGATGCTTGATTGATTTTTTTACAATTAAAAGTTTATTATGATAACTAATGTTTTTCTCGAATAATTTTTTTTATAACTTTAATGTATTTCTTCATGCAGCTCTTGGTTTTGTGTAGCTCTGTTTCTTTATCTTTTTTATGAGCAAGTATATTCTGGTGGATAAAAGTTTTACTGAACGTCTTCGGTAGAAGGGCAATAAATACTACAAACCTTCAGAAGGACATTGTATTCCCCAGAACTTGCACAAGTATTTATCTAATGGAGGAAAGTGAGTAAAGAAAACGAGTAAAGATAAAAAAGAGTAGTGTTGTGGTCCCAATAATGTTGTCACAGGATTTAGAAGAATCTTGTATTCCTCAGAACCTGCATCAAATAAAAGTCTTCTTCTTGTGTACCATGTTTGATTAATGTGCATGTATCATGTTATCGGGGATTTTTGAGGCGATATGTGAGCTTTTGTCAGCCTCCCAACTTGTCTCCTGTTTTTGACGTATATCGGGAAAGTGTGTGCCGAGATGTGTCCGATTTGATATTTGCTAATAAAAACTTCAATAATAACAACCTTA